TTCAATCATTCATGATTAAATTTAAATGCCTGAAATCACTTCACTATTCAATGGGAGTAGTACAAATAATGAAACATTTTGTGGGGAAGAGACTTGAGTTCTAATTTCCAAAGCAGGCAGAAGACAGGCATGAGGCCAGCTGTCCCTACACCTCCTCTCTAGGTTTGGTCTGGATCCCAATGAAGCCACTGAAGATAATATAGAATTCTCTCTTCGGTTACATTGTAAACATCATTGCCTTTCTCACTGGTGAATGACTTATGTGGTTGTTTAGAGAGAGGTTATCTGATGTGGACCAAATCCTCATTGCAAACTCCCCTGAATGGCTACAATCCTGCCTTTCATTAGATGGCACCATCTTAGGCCAGGGTTTCTTGGAAAATAGAGTCTGAAGAAAACATTATGTGATAACACTTAATGGGGGGAAGGAATGAAACCCACAGGAAGCAAGAATAAGAGGCAAAAGGAAAGGGAAATGAGTCAGGGAAGGAGGAAAAGGAAGTACAAGATGACACATTTTTGAACTGGCCACAGCTTCACAAGAAAAGAGTTTCTTTCTCATTCATGTGGAACATCTCTGGGAGCCCTTACACAAACAGTGCATCTTCAAAGAGTCCATCAAGGTTGGAGGAGGGGGCTAGCAGTTCATTGGCAGCCTCTCTCCTGTCTTCTTTTTCTGCTGAAAATTTGCCTTGTAGGGCCTTTATATCCCTACATTTCTGGATTGTGTTACCGGAACACTTCAGGCCACCTCTGAAAGCCACAGCCTCTGAGGGATCTGGTCAACCTGGACACTGTATATACAGTGGCTCCTACAAAGGTAGACATGATGGAAGCCATGCCAACGTCTAGCCTTGTACAAGCTATGATACCAAGTTTTGCAACCAGAGGTACAAAACAGTCATTACTGGGGCTGCTCTGGCTAGGAATTGGGTGAGCATCCAGGTGAGTGAGACAGATGGGCTGAGAGACCAGGGAAAGCACATGAACTAGGTCCGTATACTGTGCAGTGATGGGGGATGCTTGAACCTGTATAACAATGCTTTATGAACTTTCTAGGTTTAATTTTGATCTCATAGGTAAAGACCCAAATTGACAAGAGGATATACAAGCTTTCGCTCTAGAAGCCAGGAAAATAAAAGCAGTTAAACACTAAGTAGAAGAGAGGAAATAATAAAGATAAAAGTTGAAATAAATGAGATGGGAAGTGTTCAAACGTAAAAAAATTAACGAAACAAAAAGCTAGTTCATCAATGACATCGATAAAATTGATATAAATCTCTAGCTAGACTGATCAAGAATTAAAAACACAAATGCAGAAATATTAGAAATACAAACAACATCAGAAAAGAAAGGACATGATTTCAGAGAATAAGGAAATAACGGCAAATAGATAATAAGGAATTATTCTTACAGGTTGAAATGTGTCCTCCAAAAAGATAAGTTTATGCCCTGACCCTTGCACCTATGAATGTGACCTTGTTTGGAAATAGGGTCTTTGTAGAGGCAATTAAGTTGAGATGAGGTCATTAGCATGGGTCCTAATCCAATATGACTGGTGTCCTCATAAGAAGAGGAAAATGAATGAATGACAGAGACCCACAGGGAGAATCTCATGTGACGACAGACGCAGACATGGAGGAATGCAGCTACAAGCCAATTGACACCAAGTATCGACAACCACCACTGGAAGCCAGAAAGAGTCTAGAAAAGATTCCACCCAAAGTCTCAGAGGAAGCATACTCATACCTTGGTGTTGGACTTCTGTTTTCCAGAATAGTGAGAGAATACGTTTTGGTTGTTTTAAGCCGTCAAATTTGTGGTACTTTGTTACAGCAGCCCTGGGAAACTTACACAACTATGAAAAGCAATATGATAATAAATTTGACCATTTAAACAAAATGAATAGATTTCTTGAAAGATAAAAATTATCAAAATTGACAAGAAACAGAATGTTTAAATAACCCTGTCTACTAAGGAAATGATATTCCTAATTAAATTCCTTCTCCCAAAAAAACTTTAGACCCAGATTATGTCACTAGTCTATTTGATCAAATATCTAAGGACTGAAAATACAAATCCCACCCACTAAAAACAGATGGCTATTCAAAAAAATGCCAAATGAATACATAAGGCCAGTATTTCTCCAAATACGGTAAACATAAAACGACATTTTAAAAAAGAAAATAATAGACCAATATCCATTATGAATATAAACACAAAATTCTATAAAATATTACCAAGCAAATCTATCAATATATAAAAAAGTATGACAACTACAGCATGACCAAGTGGAATTTATCCAAGAAGTGTAAGTTTTGTTTAACACTCAAAAACCAATCTATGCAATTCACCATATTACATGACTAAAAGAGAAAATCTATATAATCATCACAATATATGTAAAAGAAATCAACTCGCCTTCATGATGAAAGTCTCAATCAACAAGAATGGAAGGCTATTTCTTCAACATGATAAAGAGGATTTACAAAACACCTGCAGCTGACCTCACACATCATAGTGAAAGACTAAATACTTCTCTTTGTAAGACTGGAACAAGGCAAGGATGCCTACTATCTTGACTTCTCCTCAACATTGTACCAGAGCTCCTAACCAGTACAATAAAGCAAGAGAAAAAATGAAGGAAAAGGATAAATAAAACTTTCTCTGTTCTCATGGGATGTAATTATGTACATAGAACAGAAAAATCCTACTGAATCTACAGAAAGGAGAAAACAACCTACAGGAAATAAGTAAATTTAGCAAGGTGATAGGACATGAGGACAATTTACAAAAACCAATTTCATTTCTACAAACGAGCAACAAATAATTTGAAAAGAATGTCAAATGTCATTTATGATAGCATCAAAAATATAAATTTAACCAAATATTTAAAGATGAATATCCTGAAATGTATCACATTGCTGAGAGAAATTTAAAAAGACTAACTAAATGGAGAGAGAAATCGTGGTCATGAATTCTAACACTCATTATTGTTAAGATATCAATTCTCCCAAATTTATCAACAGATTCAATGCTGTCCCAGGAAAAATCTCATCGAGCAGTTTTGAAGAAATTTTGAGAAAATGCAAAATCCCAGAATAGCCAATATACTTTTGAAAAAGAACAAATTTGGAGGATCCACATATCTAATTCCAAGCCGTACTATAAAGCTATGTCACTGAGACCGTATGGTGTTATTGCAAGAATAGGCATATAGATCACTGAGATGAAATAGGGAATCCAGAAATAGACCCACACAGATATGATCAATTAGTTTTCTACAAAGCCTCCAAAGTAATTCAACCGAGGATAGGGAAGTCTTTGCAACAAAATGTGCAAAAACTTCAGATATCTACATAAAATAGTAGTAAGCCTCAGTCCTTTTCTCCCACACAAAAATTAACTTGAAATGGGAAAGAGACTAAACATATAAGTTAAAACTATGAAAGTTCTAGAAGCAAACAAGGCAGAAAATCCTCTGTGACCTTGATGCAGGCAAAGCTGTCTTTTGTAGGACATAAAAAGCATAAAAAAGAAAAAAATTTTGCTTCATCAAAATTTTAAAACTTCTGCTTTTTGAAAGCCACCATTAAGAAAATGAAAAGGGAAGACAGACTGGGAGAAAGTATTTGCCATACATATATCTAACAAGGGATTTGTATCCAAATTATGTAAAGAACTCTTACAGCTCCATAATAAGATGGACAAATCCAATTTTGATAAAGAGTGAACAGACACTTCAAAGGTTGAACAGACACTTCACAAAAGAAGATGTACAAATAGCCAATAAACACATGAAAAGATGCTCAATGTCATTAATCTTCAGATAAACGCAAATAAAAAACCTGCAGTGAGATACTAATACACACTCACCATAATGGCTAAAATTAAAGAGACTGACAATATCAAGTATTGGCAATGATATGAAGCAACTAGAACTCTCATATGTTGGTAGTGAGAAAATAAAATGACACAACAACATTGGAAAACAAACTAGAAGTTTCTGAAGAACTTGAACATGCACTTACCATAGATTCAACAATCAAATTCCTAGGTATTTAATAACAAGAAATGAAAAGAACATGTCCAGACAGAGGGTTGCACATAAATGCTCATGGTAGTTTTATTCATAATAGCCCCAAATTAGAAACACGTCAAATATCCGTAGGTGGATGAACAAATTGTGGTATATCCATACAATGGAATACTACTCAGTAACAAAAAGAATGAACTAATGATACATGAAAGGGCTTGAATTAATTTCAAAAACATGCTGAGAAAAACAAGCCAGATACAAAAGAGCACATGTTGTATGAAATTCTAGACTAGGCAAAACTAAGGTATAGACACAGAAAACTTATCACTGGTTGCCTGGGGTGAGGTGGGTGGGAAGGTACAGAAAAGAATTTTGGAGGTGATGAAAACGTTCTATGTCTTGATCTGCTGGTACTTAAGAGGTGTATACATTTGTTAAAAACCCATTGATCTCAGGATTTAAAATAGATGTGTTTTATTGCCTGAAAGTATAACTCAGTAAAGTTGATTTTTAAAATGTTGCAGTCAAGAAAGACAAAGAAATCCTGAAGAACCATCCCAGATTAAAGGAGACTACAGTGACATCATGAGTAAATGTATTGCATGATCCTGTACATGGCGGAAAAACACCTATAAATGACATTGTTGGGACAGTTGATGAAATTTGAAAAGATTATAGATAAAATTATAGCACTGTAGAAATGCTAAATTTCCTGATTTTGATAACTGTACTATGGTTTACAAGACAAACTCCGTGTTCTTGTAAATATTTAGACCAAGGGACATAATCTCCCCAATTTATTATCAAATGGATCAGCAAGGAGAAAGACAGAGAACTGGAGAGCACAGCTAGAATTATATATAAACAAATGGTAATTATGGGTAAAGATTATATGAGAGATCCTTGTACTATTCTTTCAACCAGTCAATAAGTTTGAAATTATAAAAAAATTTTTAAAAAAATTTAATGACAGGGGACAGGGCAGGAAAACTATTTTTTAGTTCTTAATTGTGCTAGCTCTCAAATCCAGAGGGTATTGAAATGATTTATCCTATCCATTAGGCAAAGACCCAGGCTCTTTACCAGAGTTCTCTCATTGGCTCTGTGGGTGGTTCAGGGAAAGAGGAGAGAATTTCCCAGGGCCATTAAAGAGAAGAGCAACTGATTTCCAAAGACAAAATCTTCTCCTCCTCCCCAATAAGACGGACAGCCTCCAAGCTCTTATATCATAGACCAAAAGAGCATTTTCTTCCTCTTCCAACTCATTTGTTTTTCCACAATGGAATAAATCCTCCTGTCAAAAAACATTAATCTGTAAGTAATCACAAATTATTAAAGGAAACAAATAAAAAATGACAAAATTCCATTTCACCTTTTCTTCTGTGTCAGTTGAAGCAGGCAGTGAGAACACTATCAATTCTCTTCTCACAGATACATTTATATTCATTATCACAATCAATAGCTGTTATTTTTGTTGCGGTTAAAAATGCACATCCTTTAATCCCGGAAGGCAAACTGATTATTTTCAAATTACTGTAGAACAGAAAACAGACATGGTCAACTGTTGAATTCTGAAGCTGACAATAACATAAACCATTATCTTTTTAAGTCTGTTGCCTAAAGATCTGGAATGTGGAAATGTTAATCTTAACTTCATCACTAAAAGATTGTCTTTTGGTTTTAGCCCATTTACTATAATAACACCCTTCTGATCACACCCATCATCTTCCCTGGTATTCCACACTAGGAATTTCTAGTCAGCAGGTGATATTACCTTGCAATATTGCTAGGGCATCATGACATATAGGAAACCAGCTTTCTCATGTTAATAATTTCAATAAAAGTGAGAGGTTAAAAAGAAGAACTGAAGTTCTGTGACAGAGATAACCAAGTCTCATGTGTATATACCTTAAGGAGAAAAGGTGGAATTGGAATATAGACAGAGGTGAGGTTTAATTGATGTTTTTATTTGTTTTGTTTCTTTTCCTTCCCTACCCTATAGCTAATAATTGTTAGCCAAAACATGAGAACGCACTGAAAAATATCTAAAAGGGAGACTTCTATTTCAGCAAAGTGGTGGATTAGATACCAGAACTATCTTCCTATTGAAACAATTAAAAATGTTGAATAAAAAAATTTAACCCTTCTTGATAAATTTATGAATTGGCAAGAAGCAAATTCATACTCAAGCGGAGGGTGAAGTAATGGTGTGAACCCAGGAGGGTATTTGAAGCTCTGCAGTCAGTTTTTCCCTTAACTGATGTAGTAGGCTGAATAATGAATTCCATCCAAGATTCTGAATAGAGGGCAAGCTACATAGAGTGGAGACCCAAAGGGATATATCCTCAGTATAAACCACCCAAGACCTTTCGTGAACCTTGAGAAAAACAAGGGAAAAAGAATAATCCCACCTAACAGTTCAAAATCATACGCCATCCCCCATGTAAGCTGCATTTGCTACATTATTTAAGAATATTCAGATCTGCTACAGGGATAAAGAGAAATAAACAAGGAAGATAAATGAAACTAAGTAGCTCATGAGGCAGAGACTGAACATACAAGATGTAAGTATGTATAAGTAAGTAACCTATGAGACATGTTAGGTATACACAGAGTAAGTAGAGCATATGTGTGCTGATCATGGGAAGGGACGAAAGAACTAAGTAGACACTAAATACAACAGTCAAGATATATGTGACGCACATAGATACTCAACATTCATGAGGTCTTAAGTTTCCCATCCATTGGTGACACTCATCTGGCCCTCTGCCTAAGAAATTCACATAAAATCCGTGGCTGCAGCTAAGGTTAAATGGAAAGCTGCAGCTGTGCCCAAGCTTACATGCCCCTGCATCTCCGTAGTAGAGAAAATGTGCATGATCGTCACAAGAACCTTCTGTCTGTTGGGCCCCTTTACTCAAACCTCAAGTCTGGTGCTAGAAACCATCAGCAGGGAAGGGGTATGCAGCAGAGAGTGTCAGGACACATGAAGATTGCATAACCCAGGACTCAGGCAATCCTTTCACCCATTTGTACCTTATCCTAGCATGACAACATATCCCATCCCACCCAAATGTGAGAGCTGTCCCATTTCCTTGCCCTGCAGAGGGCAATGATTTTTAAATTGATTTAATTAACCATGAAATTTGAGCTTGTTAATTTAGCCCGTGAGCCTTTCTGTTCTGTGACCTCTGAGACTGTTGGCCTGAAAGTGTACTTACAGGCTACAATTACATTAAAGTAATTTCCTGCATGACATCTTTTGTAGGTTTGCAGCCCAGAACAACATTTACAGGGCCCATATGTAGAATTTAGAATCAGTGGCCCAGATTCATAGTGCCCCAAGGAATCCAACAAAAGGAAATTCTTTCTTGAGGAAGCCACCTTCAACTCAGTCTTTGAATAATTTCCACAGCAGATCAAAAAGGAAAGAAAATCACTAAATACTACAAAGAAAATGGCATCATGAAGGAAAGCCATCACAAACAATAGAGTGGACCCGCAAAACTTCAAAGATAAAAATTATCTGATACCAAATATAAAATAAGAATATTTAATATCATTCAAGAAATAAAAGAAAGCTTGAAAATCTGAGTAACTAGCAAGAAGACTTGGAAACATAAAGCAGAATTTCTAGAAATAAAAAATATAATACATTATTCAGATTTTTAAAAAATCATTGAACAGTTTAACAGCAGATTATAATTAAATGTAAACTCAAGAGTTTACAAAATACTGCCCTTCAAAATAGAAGAGCTATAGTGAAGGCATATGTACGTGTGTATACTCACAGATGTTTATGAATAATATAAACTAATAATGTAAAGGAGTTTCAAATGAATTTGGGGGATACTCAAAATACTCATTTGCACTTATCAGAGAGCTCACTATGGGTAAGTCAGGATAGTCCAGTCTCTTCATATCACTCTACTTTGTGTTTTATTTTAAATAAAATAATTCTGAAGACTTACTTCTGAGCATGTGTTTTTATCATCACATCATAATTTTATTATTATTGATAACTCTGTATGACACATCTGTTCTTTTTTAACTACACTTCCTAAAAGGCTTTCTTAATCATTCTACTTATTCTTGCCAACGAACTCTACAGAAAATGAGTTAAGCTCTGCAAAATAAGAGAAGGTTCCTTTTAGATACAATTGTTCTAACCCCAACACCAATATTGGAGTTTGGATGCATTCCAGAGACTTACGTTCCAGAAAATGTGCCATTGTCAATCCATTTCCACTTACTTTCCGTTGCATTGTATGATAATCCAATCCAGTAGCTATCTCTATAAGTCTGGGGTTGAACAAATGCCTATAAAGGAAACAAAGGATATCAAGTGACTGAACTCCAACCTGTTAGAGAATGAAAAGAAGGACAGGTTAAGGGTCCAGTTGTTTCTCTGCCAAGTTCTCTGCTCCTCTCCACATCATTCTTCACCACTCCTTCCTAAAAAACCTTCTCTTCCCTCAATCCCTGTGTTTACATTTTTGAAAGTAATTTTTCCCGGGATTATTTATTTATGTTAAAAATGGCTGCAAGTCTCACAGATTATTTAAAACATGGAAAAATTTAAAATCTAGTTATCTAACAATAGGAGATTTGATAAATAATTTATGACACTTTATGAAACCATTTAAAGTCAGGCTCCAGAAAACTACTTACAGATCTATAAAAATGATCACTATATATTCTTAAGTGAAAAGAGGAATCTTCAAAACAAGTTTATTAAAACAAGTGTATCTGGGGAGACGTGCCTAGAGGCTTTAGCCTCATAAGAGAGAGCCTTGCTGGAGTTCAGTAGTTGGAAGAGGCGCAGGGAAAAGGGCAGTGTTTGGAAATATTGACTCTCCAAAAATGTAATATATCAAAGTGACATATTACATGATATCTGATTAGATGACAATGTATTTTTAGAAAAAGATTTAAATGTAACTGTGTTTTACTGCAACAAACATAAAAAGTTATTTTATAAATTGATATCATAAATTCTTTTATGTTGTGGTTTAAAATATCTATTAGATTTACGTATAAATTTTGCCTTATTTTCCTACACAATAAATAGAGGCTTCAGGCTGATCTTTGCAAACATTTCTCTATAAAATCACATTCTGCGTGTGTGGATAGTTTCCATTAGTAATAAATTAAAAAGGTAATTTTTTTTTTTAAAGATTTTATTTTTTCCTTTTTCTCCCCAAAGCCCCCCAGTACATAGTTGTATATTCTTTGTTGTGGGTCCTTCTAGTTGTGGCATGTGGGAGGCTGCCTCAGCGTGGTTTGATGAGCAGTGTCATGTCCGCGCCCAGGATTCGAACCAACGAAACACTGGGCCGCCTGCAGCGGAGCGCGCGAACTTAACCGCTCGGCCACGGGGCCAGCCCCTTAAAAAGGTAATTTTGATATTATTGTCACTGTATTTTCTCTTTTTATAATTCTTTTTGAAAGATATACATGTTGATGTAATATATAAGAATATTGATCAAGTAAATGTTACCTATAGATGCAATCAAAATCACCATAAAGCTAATTTGTAAAACTGTTATCACTTTCCTATTCCTCATCATTATCTCTATTCTGC